GGGGTCATTATTCCCAATTAAACACCAGGGAAACTGAGGCACGGCTGAGTCAGGGCCAGGGCCGGGCTCCGGCACAACCCGGTCCAAAACATCCCCCAATCCCTGTGACCCCAAAACCCGGGATCCACCCCCCTAGAAGGATTTTCTGGAAGATTCTGTGGGAAAAGCCACAAGGCCAACCCCGAGATGGGGCAGCTCCTCCAAAGGCCGTGGAGGGGCTGGGAATGTTGGGAAAACTGGGAATGTTGAGCTCCCAGGATCTGCAGGAGCTCCAGGGAAGCTGGAGAGGGATTTTTCCTCAGGAACTGCAGGGACAGGACACGGGGAATGGGGTCAGGGGGGAATCTGGGTGGGATTTTGGGAAGGAATTGTTCTCTGTGAGGGCCTGGCTCAGGGAATTCCATGGATTTCCCACCCCTGGGAATGTCCAGGGCTGGGTTGGAGACGCCTGGGATAGGGGAATGTCCCTGCCCTTGGAATGGGATGATTTAGACGTCCCTCCCACCCAAACCATTCCATGATTTTATCCCGATTTTAAGTGGATCCAACAGATCCCAGGAACCCAAAGCATTCCATGATTTTATCCCAATTTTAAGCGGATCCAACAGGTCCCAGGAACCCAAACCATTCCATGATTTTATCCCAATTTTAAGTGGATCCAGCAGGTCCCAGGAACCCAAACCATTCCAGGATTTTATCCCAATTTTAAGCGGATCCAGCAGGTCCCAGGAACCCAAACCATTCCAGGATTTTATCCCGATTTTAAGTGGATCCAACAGATCCCAGGAACCCAAACCATTCCATGATTTTATCCCGATTTTAAGCGGATCCAAAGGTCCCAGGAACCCAAACCATTCCAGGATTTTCCCCCTCAGTTCTGAGGGGATCCGGAGGGTCGGATGGTGGGGCCACGCCTGGCTCTGGCAGCGGCAGGAGCAGCACATTCCCGGCTGGAAAAACCCCCCAGAATTCCAGGGAGAAGGAATCTCCAGGATCTCCCAACACTTCCAGGAGCTGTGGGACAGCTCCAGGTGGCACCAGGAGGTCACCGAGGCAGGGAGGGGCAGGAGAAGATGCGGGACAGCGTCCCCAGCCCGGCCACACCCTCCTGTCCCCGCTGGCCACCTCGTGAGCTCCTGCTCGTTTTCCTAATCATGGGGCTCATCCAGGGATTTTTCCAGCCTGGATTTGGCGGGATTTAATAAAGGAATGTTTCATATCAAATAAATATTTTATATTAAATATTTCATCCCATTCAATAAATATTTCACAGTCAATAAATATCTAATAGTTAATAAATATTATTATATAATATATAATATATAATATATAATATATAATATATAATATATAATATATAATATATAATATATAATATATAATATATAATATATAATATATAATATAATATATAATATATAATGTATATTGTATAATGTATAATATATAATATATAATATATTATATATAATATATATAATTATATTTTATATAGTATAATATATTATATTTATACATTATATATTATATAAAATATATAATATTTATATATGTATATATTTTTATATATTAAATTATATTATTATAATGTTGTTCAATAATATTTTAATATATTAGTAAATTAAAATATTACAGTCATTTCCTATTAAATAAATATTTAACATGAAAGAAATATTCAATATGAAATAAGTATTTCACGTTAAATAAAGATGTCCTATTAAATAAATACAAGAATATGAAATATTTATAATAAAATAATTACAACAATATTAAATGATTTTTAACAATTAATTAAGAAATCACCAAGAGGCCAAAACCCAAGATTTTTAATCCGAGTTCAAACAAGAACGTTTATTTAAGTTTATATATGTACGTAAAATATTTGCATGTTTCTGTAGATAAACTCTGTTTTCAGTGCACATCACGATTTCCCGGAATTCCGTGGGAATTCGTTCCCATCCCTCCAATGCCTTGTGTCAGATCAAGGAAGGAGCCAGAGGCACCTGGAATGTCCCCACGGAAAGGCAGGGAAACGCTGGAAAACCGGGATAACGCGGATGGGAGAGGGGGGAGATAAAGATCCCAAATCCCGGTTTCCCAGGGATTGTCCTCGTCACGCTCCTCGTCACCAGGGCCACTTGGGGGCCGAGCAGTATTTCTTGGAGTGGCTGGAGATCTTCACTGCCCCGGATTGCTGGGGGACACACTTGGTGACACTTTGCTGGGGGACACAAACTGTCCCACACTGCTGGGGGACACATTTGGTGGCACTTTGCTGGGGGACACACTTGGTGGCACTTTGCTGGGGGACACATTTGGTCATGCTCTGCTGAGGGACACATTTGGTGACACTTTGCTGAGGGACACAAATTGTCCCATAATGCTGGGGGACACATTTGGTGGCACTTTGCTGGGGGATACACTTGGTGGCACTTTGCTGGGGGACACACTTGGTGGCACTTTGCTGAGGGACACAAACTGTCCCATAATGCTGGGGGACACATTTGGTGGCACTTTGCTGGGGGATACACTTGGTGGCACTTCGCTGGGGGACACACTTGGTGGCACTTTGCTGAGGGACACAAATTGTCCCATAATGCTGAGGGACACATTTGGTCATACCTTGCTGAGGGACACATTGGGTCACACACTGCTGGGGGACACAAACTGTCCCACACTGCTGGGGAACACACTTGGTGGCACTCTGCTGGGGGACACAGATTGTCCCGTACTTCTGGGTGACACTTTTGGTGGCACTTTGCTGGGGGACACATTTAGTGGCACTTTGCTGAGTGACACTCTTGGTGGCACTCAGCTGAGGGACACACTTGGTGGCACTTTGCTGGGGGACACATTTAGTGGCACTCTGCTGGGGGACACATTGGGTCACGCACTGCTGGGGGACACAAACTGTCCCACACTGCTGGGGGACACCCTTGGTGGCACTTTGTTGAGTGACACACATGGTGGCACTCTGCTGGGGGACACAAATGCTGGCCGCGCTGGTGTCACACCGCTGCGGGACACACTTGGTGACACACCTGCCGTGCCACTGCTGGGGGACAGCGGCGGTGACGCTCTGCCACTGCTGGGGGACTGGCGGTGTCACCCATTGGTAGGACACGCACTGGGCCGCGCGCTGCTGGGGGACACAGGTGGTGACACACCTGGGGACACCCTGCTGGGGACAGCCGCTGGTCACGCACCGCTGCGGGACGCACCTGGTGGCACTCTGCTGCTGAGGGACACCCTGGGTGACGTAGGGCGGCCGCGGCATGCAGGTGGTGACACACCTGGGGACGATCTTCTGCTGGGGGACGCACTCGGGAGGTGGCACCTGCAGCTGCTGCGGCACGCACCGGGTGACACCGGCGACACCCGTGCTCTGCTGCGGCACGCAGGTGGTGACACACCTGGGGACGATCTTCTGCTGCGGTGGCGCGCACTGGGTCACCCCCACCTGCTGTGGCACGCACTGGGTCACCCCCACCTGCCGCGGCACGCTCCAGGTGACACCCGCGCCGCCGGTGACGCGCTGCTGCGGTGGCGCGCACGTTGTCACCCGCCTGGGGACAATCTGCTGCTGCGGGAGGTGCTGGGGCACGCAGGGGGGTCCGAGGAGCTGGCGGGGCACGGCCTGGGTGACACTCTGCTGGTGGCACACGCTGGAGGACGTCGCCCGCTGCAGGGGGACGGGCACGGCCTGGGGGATGCAGGTTGTGGAGTGCCACCGCTGAGCCGGGAAGGGGACGCCGGGGGACAGCGCCACGGGGTCCTGGTGGAGCGCAGGGAGGTGCTGGTGGAGGTAGCAGGACATCTTGGGGACAGGTGGCAGGACTGGAAGGACACGGAGGGGGAATCAGGTGGCGTTTGAGGTCCCAACCCAACCGATTCGGTGACACCTGAGGAAGACTCCGGTCCCCAAACCTCGGGGACACGTCCCAGCCGTGTCACAGTCCCAGCACGGGTGGGAGGGGCTGGTGGAGGTCTCGGGGACATCTTGGGGACACTTGGGGATTTTAGGGTCCCTCCCCACCCCTTGGGTGACACCCGAGGAAGCCTGGCCGGTCCTCGTGGTCCCCACACCTCGGGGACACGTCCCCACGGTGCCACCACCCCAGCATGGTCCCAGCAGCACCTGAGGGACCCAACCCCTCCTTCTTTACTCTGAGCCACGTCCCCAAGCCAAGCTGGGGACACTCGGGGACACTCAGCGTTGAACGTCATCCAAAAAAACACCCTCCCCCAATTCATTAATTAAATTAATTAATGAAAACGAATTTCCCTCCGTCACAAACTCCCCATTTTCAGGAGCAAATCTGGGATTCAGACACTCCGAGCACTGAGAGCCCTCTCCAACCCTCTCCCGCTCCAGCACCAAAATTCCAAACAATCCGTTTTAAAATCCCCTCCCGGATAGGATTTTTTACGGAAAAATCAGGAACGCGTCTGGATTTCGTGATCGCGGAATCCCAGAGCGCTTTGGGTTGGAAGGGACATCAAAGATCAACTCAACCCCTGCCGTGGGACACCTTCCACCACCTCAGGTCACTCCGGCCTGGCCTGGGACAATCCCAGGGATGGGAAATCCGTGGAATAACCGGTGCCAGGCTCTCCTCGCTCTCACAGGGAACAGTTCCTTCCCAAACCCCACCTGAATTCCTTCTCTTTCACTTTTTCCCCATTCCCGCTTTTTCTGCCGCTCCAGTTCCTGATGGAAAGTCCCTCCCACCATCTTTTCTTGCAGGGAAATGTTCTCCCTGGAATCCACCAATCCCACCCCAAAACGAGGTGTTATTTTCCCCAAAGCCACCCTGGATCTCATCAAACCCAACCTCCAATCCCAAACCCTCTCCAGCCTGGCCTTGGACACTTCTTGGGACGGGGAAACCTCTGAGCCACCCCAATCCAGCCCACCCCCACTCTCGGAATCAGGAATTCCCTCCGAATTCCCCATCCCAGCATCTCCAGAGGCTCAGGAACCAGACTCACCCAGCTCCCGGGGGCGGGAAGAACTTCCAGAGGTGACCGGCGCGTCCCAGCTCCGGGAGAGCTTTTATAGGGCCGCCGGAGGAGCCGCCAGATCCCGCAGCTCCCGTGTCGCTCCCGGAGTGAGTCGGAGCCGCCGACTCATCCCGGACAATGAGTGGTTCCATGGCAGCTTCCCGGTGTAATTACCTCGGGATAATTAATCCTCGGTGGCATTCAGAGCAGCAGCCCCAGCCCCGGGGTTGTTTTTGGGGATTGAACCCCTGGATGTGTAGGATTGGGTTTTCCAGGGGTTTTCCATCCCTGGGGGTCTCACAGGGATGGGGTTGTCCCGGTTGTTGTTGGATTTGGGTTTTCCATGGGATTCTCCAGCTCGGTGGTTTCATCCTCATCCAACTGGCAATGCCCGGATTTTTTGAGGGTGTTTGGCCAAGTTTTGGGTGTGGATTTCAATCACTGAGGGAAAACGGAGAAAAAAAAATCCCCTCTTGTGGTGGGTGCAGCTCATAATCCATCAAAATTATCATTTTTTTAATAAAAAACCCCAATTCTCTGAGTGTTGTTGTCAAAACTGGGCTGGGCATTGCTTCTCCTCAGCATCATCAGGAAGAAATCGTCCCACGGCGCCAAGCAGGAAGGGTCTGGATTCATTCCCGGATTCGTTCCCCATGGAGAATTCCATAATTAAAGGAGGATTTCGCCCTCTCTGCTTCTTGCCCCATGTGGGGCACAATTACCCAAGAGCTCCCGAACTTCCCCGTTCCTTTTCATGCCCCAAATTATTCGGGGCCCTTTCTCCTGGCCACAAACCCCCCCCGGGCGGGGCCGTTCCTCCCAGCTCACACAAAACCACATTTTTTAATTAAAATTAATGAAAATGCCTCGGCCCTGCCCCTCTCCCCGTGGCTTTGGGCTCCGTGTTGGTGTCACCGGGGCTGGGTTTATTTTGTCCTGGTCCCTCTCAGCTCTGCAGGAGCCAGCGGGGACAAATCGCCTTTTTGGGGTTGTTTTGTGTCACAGTGAAGCCACAGAGGCGCCGAGCAGATTTTTAGTGACTTTAAAAATTAATTTTCTGATTTTTTTGGTTATTTTGTGTCACAATGAACCAAGGAAGGTGCTGAGGAGATTTTTAGTGACTTTAAAAATTAATTTTCTGATTTTTGGGGGTTATTTTGTGTCACAATGAACCAAGGAAAGCGCTGAGCAGATTTTTAGTGACTTTCAATATTAATTTTTTGATTTTTGGGGGTTATTTTGTGTCACAATGAACCAAGGAAAGCGCTGAGCAGATTTTTAGTGACTTTCAAAATTCGCCTCCTGTTTTTACGAGGTTTTTTTTCCAGTCTGTGCGAGGTGAGGAGTTGAGCCCGTGAGAAAGTCCCACGCGACTTTTGGAGGAGGTTTATTTTGGGGTGACAGCCTGGCTGGTTGTGCAAGGGCTGCCACCCAAGCCGGCCGTGCCTCACCCCTCCCGGTCACCTGAGAGTCACCAGGTGCCACATTCCCGCTGCTCCCAGGACAGGTGACAGCCTCGGGATCCGCCTGGGGACACCCAGGGGTGACAAAAAGCTCCAGGAGCTGATCAACTTCCTCCAGCCCCCGTGTGACTTCCCCGGTCATTCACCTCCTTATCTCACAGGGATTAAAAATATCATAAAACCTTTTTGTTTATCATTTTTTAGATCAGTAAAAATCTGCTCAGCGCTTTCCTTGGTTCATTGTGACACAAAATAACCCCAAAAAATCAGAAAATTAATATTGAAAGTCACTAAAAATCTGCTCAGCACCTTTATGGCTTCACTGTGACACAAAATAACCCCAAAAAATCAGAAAATTAATTTTTAAAGTCACTAAAAATCTGCTCAGTGCCTCTGTGGCTTCACTGTGACACAAAACAACCCCAAAAAGGCCAATTTGTCCCCGCTGGCTCCTGCAGAGCTGAGAGGGACCAGGACAAAATAAACCCAGCCCCGGTGACACCAACACGGAGCCCAAAGCCACGAGGAGAGGGGCAGGGCCGAGGCATTTTCATTAATTTTAATTAAAAAATGTGGTTTTGTGTGAGCTGGGAGGAACGGCCCCGCCCGGGGGGGTTTTGTGGCCAGGAGAAAGGGCCCCGAATAATTCGGGGCACGAAAAGGAACGGGGCGAGAAGCAGAGAGGGCGAAATCCTCCTTTTTTTCAGGGAATTCTCCATCTCCATCCGGACTTTTCCTGCTCGGCTCCGAGCCACAGGAGCGCGGCTTTGTTGTGGCTTCTCTCCCGCAGGGATCCTTCCTTTGATCTGAACCCGCGATTCCTCCGTCGCTCGGAGGTTTGAACCTCCCTTTGGACCAAAACCGGCAGCTTTTTATAAATATAAATATAAATATAAATATAAATATAAATATAAATATAAATATAAATATAAATATAAATATAAATATATATAAAAATAGATAAATATATAAATATATATAAATATATAAATATATAAATATATAAATATATATCAATATATATCAATATATATAAAAATAGATAAATGTATATATGAATATAAATATATATGTTTATAAATATAAAAACCGGACCGTTTTTATAAATATAATTTATAATTAGACATTATTTCTATTCGCTGATATTGATTTGTCCAGGTCTGGGCGGGAATTTCCAGCAGGAATTTCCACCTGGAAAAGGCGGAATTGGCGGAGCGCGGGAGTTTCAACCCAGCCTGATCACACCTTGAGAATTCGCCTCTGTTTTTCTTCTCCCTCCTTTTGTTCTGCTTGCCAGAGTTTCTATTTTCGGGGCAGGGAGGGAGCTCTGCATTCCTGGGCGCTTGGCTCAGCCTCCAAAACCTCCAAAACCGCGTTCCTGACTTATTAAAGGCGGAGAACCCAGGAGGTCCCACCTGGCTCCTCCTCCTGGGGTTTTTTTGGGGACCTCTTCCCTCCTTCCCTCCTCCCTCAGCGGGCTGCGGATTCCCGCTGGAGTCAGGCGGGGTGAAAAGGGCACAATTCCAAAATCCCGGGGCTTGGGAAAGAATTCCACGGTCCTGGAGTCCCGGTTGTGCCCGATTCCCGCCTGGACACCCAGAAAACATCCAGGAATTCCTCGGACGCCTCCAGGGATGGGGATCCAACCTTCCCTGAGCCCCTTTCCAAATCCTGGCCGCCCTTTCCAGGAGGAATTAACCAAATTCCCAGATTTCCCACCCCGAGCATCCCCTGGCACAGCTCGAGTCCTGTCCCTGTTCCCTGGGATCAGATCCCAAATTCCCCGCTGGAAGAGCCGGGAATTCCCCCTGGATCCCCCTTTTCTCCAGGCTGAGCCCCCCCACATCTCCCTCAGGATTTTCCAGCCCCTTCTCCCGCCGCTCCAGCCCCTCCCTGTCCCTTTTCCATGAGGGGACACAGCCCCGAGTGTCCCCAAGGGCCCCGAGTGTCCCCAACCAGCAGAGCGCAGCATCGGCCCGCGCAGGCGGCTCCTGGCACCTGGAGAAATCCCTCGGGATCCTCCCCGAGCCCTGCCCGTCTCCAGGAAAAATTCAAATTTGGGATTTGGCCCAGCCCAGCCCCTTTTTTTTTGTTTTTTTTTTTTGGCCGCTGGATCTGGGAAGAGCCCGAGGGAGCGGCACGGGCTGGGAATCAACCAAGAAGGACCTGGAGGGTCCTGGTGGGCAAAACCTGTCCCAGGGCTGAGCATTCCCAGGGATCGGGGAGGGATCCCGTGGATCAGGGATCCCCCGCCCCTCTGCTCGGCCTCCTGCTCCCACTGACGGGAAAACTGGGAATGCTGAGGCTGTGCAGACCCCCGAGCCCCTCCCAGGATCTGCAGGGAAGCTGG